AAATATAGATAACACACAAAACGTTAAAAAAAGGTTCCTTTTGGGCATAATATAAAATCTGAGTGCTTCTAGATTTTATTTTATCTTTTCTTTTCCCCTTCATTACACTCAGAAAATTTTATGCTCCGAATTTTATAAATTACTAAAATAAATAATCCACTTTAATGTTAATAAGTTAATGATGATATAATCAAATAAATGATCGTTTTGTAATGCTATTATAGTTTTGAAAATCACTGCCTGAAAATGGTCATTAAATTTTTTTTAAAAAGTTATCAGATCTTGTTTAATTTTACCTTATTTATTTCAAAGCATCACGTAATATCAATCTTATTTCATTTTACGTTATTTGTACGCAAAATTAAGTTCATAAATTTTGTGCCTAGAGTTTTTACCGTTTTACCAAAGTAAAGATGTTTGTACATGAATTACGCGTGAAAAAAATGCGCGAAATGCAATAAAAAGTGCTTTAATGAGATATATTGAATAATATTTGGAAAAAACTGTGGCTTTCATAATCTCATCACTATACAACGTATCACATTTAATAATTAAAAAGAGTTATGTGATACAAACTCCATAGGTTTCAGTGTTAAAGTAAACCAGATCGTCCCTACTAGAGCTGGAGCAAATCGCATGTATTCGTTACCGAGTAACGGGTACATCGGTTGACTCGAAGTACCGATTCGGTACTCACAAATTCATTTCGTTACTCGCATCTGTCGTATGATGCGGTTTATTCGAATACGTATGATGCGGTTGTTATGCGAATACGAATGATGCGGTTTCTATGCGAATACGAATGATGCGGTTGCTGTTCGAATACGAATGATATATTTGCTAACAATACCCGTGTGCCACATTTTTCATTGATAATTTCGAATTTTTTTGGTTAACTCATCGGGCAAACTCTTGTTTACATTATGTGTTTTGTTGAGTTGAAATATTGTTTAGTTGTTGATATTTAAGAAAATGACCAATTTTGATAGCGTGAAGCGTTATTTTGTATTTGCTTTTCACATTTAGATTTATAGTGCATATTATGTTTGTAATTTGAAAATTTAGATGATTATTGATTTTTTTCTTGAGCGTGCCATTGGGAGATTTTATTGAGTTGAAATATTTATATACTGCATTTAGGTATTGTTTAAATAAGAATATGTAGGTTAATATAAGTTCTTTACTTCCTTGTACGAAATAAAAAGGAAGTAAGTATTGTAATCGAGAAAAATTTTTGGGTATCATATTTCAACGGAAATATCCATTTTTGACGATTACAGAATCCATGTGAATTATTTTTTTGGATGACGTCTGTACGTACAAACACAATTTTTTTTTTTTTTTTTTTTTTTTTTTTTCCAGAAACGGATTGTTAAATGTAATCCCATTTACTCTAAGCTGATACTTATGACTAATGATTATGACTCTAAGTTGATACTTGAAAGGGATTTCTTCGTGATGTGTAAGTACGTATATATGCATTTCGCATAACTCAAAAACGATTAGTTCTAGAACGTTGAAATTTTGTATATGTGTGAAAATAAAAAAATGGATACAATATAACAAAAATGTTGTTCTATTTAGATACAACACCTTCTGAACACGTCTGAAATTCATTCTTCTGCTCAGCATAATTCGTCTGCATAAAATAATAAATAGTATTAGAAATCAAAAGCTAAGTCGAAGAAGAAACAGTCATCTCTTCTAAACCATTTTAATTGAAGTGAACAGACGTTCGTCTTATCGTAAAGTAAACACCTATTTTTCAAACAGAGGATAAAACGGGAAAGAGGGAATTGGTGGGGGAAAGGCAGCGAACGAAATGACACTTTTTGGAGCTGGAATGAAATGAGAAAGGACGAAAAGGTACTAAGCCAATAAGACAAGGTCTGGTATTTTACTTTATAATTTAACTATTCATCATAAATTTAAGAGAATTATTTTAATTTTTATTTGTCTTTACATTTTTGTTAAATTTTACTTATAAGTATTTTATATTTCAGTTGCTAATTATTATGTTACTTTAATTATTCATTATTTAATCACTATTTTTTATTATTTTAATTAATAAGTTTTTTTTACTAAGTAATTTTTTTTATTATTTTAATTACTAATTAATGTTATTATTGTAATATTTATTTTATTTATTTATTTTTTATTTTTTCCTGACGGCCTTCCGTAGGCGCTTCTGACTTCTGACTTTTGTGACACAACAAAAAGAGGTGAATTATTTCCATCCAAAAATACGACGTAAAACTCCCTATCGCATAGGGCCGTATACCGATAAAATAGGCTCAGGATACGAATACCGATGGATTTTACCGAAAGTAACGAGTAACGATACGATAGTAACGAGTACTGGTTCACCGAGTAGCGAATACATACGGGTACACAATTTCTCGTTACTTCTACAGCACTAGTCCCTACTCTTTCTTGCCGACAGGTCGGTGACGCGAGCCCCGCCCACTGGGTTAGTCTATCTCTTATAAGGTCCATGACTATAAAGCAGTGACGTCACACAAAAGCAAACATTGCAGTATAGTAACCTTGGTTAATAAAAATTACTATTACTTCAGTGGCGACACATATTCGTTCCAAAACGTGTACCCAAGTGATTCAGTGGAAAAAGCGCAGCTGCATCTTCAATAATTAGAAAATAACGCTGCGTGGAAACTTCTACACTCATTTCTTTATGAAATCAGAGCAAAAAATTTGCCACGTAGCTTACTTTTTAATGGAATAATACCACAATAAGTTTTTTCCTACCCTTCCTCCGTTTATTTTAGACCATATACTCTCTCCAGTATATTTGTTCTAAAATATATCATTTTACGTTTTGAATCTTAAATTTCTGAGGACTAACTCTTTAACTGGTGAAAATGTGAAACTTCAAGGGAACCTGAAGAGTTCGACTGTAATACGAAGTCTTCGAATTAATTTTTTCTTTCTTAATTTAAGCAACTTTTGTAATTGCAGTTACGACCACTAGTCGGAGCTGTAACTTGAAATCCTGAAGATATTGTTCCGGTCTTGAATTATCACTGTAAAAAGTCATCAGCATAATGCTGAGCTGCTATGAAACAGTACTATTCCTAACTTGGAAGAAAGGCAAGCAGAAGACTTCGTGACATTCAGACAGGTAACAGGTGACGGAGGACGGGGATGCCTGGCGTATAACATAGGTAAATATGTCCCACCTCCTCCACTATCTCGAAGAAGCAACTCGCTGGAGCCCCGTGAGGCTGCACCGGGAGTTTACATGGCCATACAGGGGCTAGAAGTCGAGTAGTTTTTACATAGGACGTTGTTAATAACACAAAGTAACTTAAAAAGAATATAAAGGATAGCATTAAAACACTTAAAACACTCATATAAGCTGAAACACATAGATATACAAAAATTAAACGTAAAAAGCATAAAAACACACTCGTAATTACGTAACATAAAGACATAAAAACACACACGAGAATACATATCATGACACATAGAATACATATGGAAACACCGTCCTCCACTATCTCGAAGAAGCAACTCGCTGGAGCCCCGTGAGGCTGCACCGGGAGTTTACATGGCCATACAGGGGCTAGAAGTCGAGTAGTTTTTACATAGGACGTTGTTAATACCTTGTGTCCCCGAGTGCACGCTACAACTAGCGGTGCACTCGGGGACACAAGAGCACGGCTCCCGACTCTTCGGTTCAGTCGTTCCCGGAGCTCAACACGCTCTCTCGACGATGCACTAACCGCGATACACTAAGAGACTCCTTCGGTGCACTCGACGACCACTCGGCAATCGCTGCCCGGCTGTCAACTCGATCGACTCCGCAGGGATTGACTTGCTAGACGAGACACCAACTCGATAATGACTAACTCGCACTCTAGACGAGGCACAGAGACACTAACTGACTGCGGAACCAGCAGGGTTTATATAGCTTTCGGCTTGTGTTCGAGAACATTCTGGGCTAAACCGGTAAGAATTCGTTCCAGAAGGTTCTCCAACCGTCCATGGTATATCGCCAATTTTGTCGCCAAATGGGCGATTTCTCGCCAAATTTCTCGTAACTCTGCCTTTCCTTGCCATTTTATGTGCGTTAATTAAACATTTACTAAACTATTTATAAATGCATTTGGAAAGATAGGATTTATTCATTTCTAAACTCCTATGAATGTTACTCTGAAGAAATTTTGTTTTTAAATATATCTAAATTTATAAATGATTATAAATATTATCTAAATATATAATAACTTTATAGGGTGAAACGGTAGCACACTCAGCGCATATTCGAGAGGTCAAGGTTCGAATCCCGGCTGGGGCATTACTCATTTTTCACGTTATCTCCTGCTTCAAAATAACCTAATGACTCTACATCCTTAGCATTTCATTGTAAACATAAATTGAAATTCTGTTGACAAATATGTTTGTAAAACTATTTTAAGCAAGAACTGTTCGTCTAGAAAGAAATCTGTTGAAAGGTGTTATAAGGTGTTGTTATCAGGTTCTGTGTTCCTCCTTACTTGCTTAGGGAACATTGACTGTCCTGACTCGGAACAGGGAGCTTACTAAAGCTATGTTCAATAAATTTAGGAAGTAGACAATAGTAGTAGGCAGAGTAATTCGTGCGGCGGAAGTGACGTCACATTCTAATGTAATTAACGAAAACTTATGAAAATGTTTCATTCAAATTAGATTTCTGAGCAAATTGCTCTGGATAAAGTATAGCATTTAATCCCTTTCTTCAGAATGAAATGTTGTTTAAAAATGTATTCTTTTCACACACTTAAGGACTCTGAAATATTGTAGAAAAAATATATATATACATATTTACGAAGTAATTACAAAATGTTTACTCTGATCATGTCAAAACCCATTGATCTTAATGGCAAGTCACTGAATGTTTTGATTTCTACGAGGGGTGCGCCACTGCTTCAAAGCTGTGCATGAGAAAAAACAATTAGAGCCTCTCCTCTTGCTATAAGGCATTTCTTCCGCCTTCTTAGCATGCCTTCATAGTGCAGTGGTCAGCACATTCGGCGCTTATTCGAAAGGTCCGCGGTTCGAGTCCCGGCGAGGGCATTGCTCATTTTTCATCTCTCCTGTTTTCAAAAATACCTAATGTCTCTACAGTGGCGTTCGAACCAAAAAAAAAAAAAAGAGGTGGTGCATGATGATTCTTCACCACCAGGATTTGGCGATTGGGTCCCCTAATCTCCAGTCGCCCTTTAAAAGCGGGCGTATATAAGGTATTTCTCCCGCTTTCTTAAAATGTCATCGTGGTGTAGTAGTCAGCACACTCGGCGCGTATTCGAGTGGTCCGAGGTTCGAGTGCCGGCCAGGGCGTTGCTCATTTTTTCATCTCTCTTGCTTTCAAAAATACCTATACTTCCTGCCTCCATGGTCTCCACTGCTTCAAAGCAGTGCATGGGGAAAGCCAGTTACGGCGTTATAGTCATTAGGTTACAGAGATGGACAAAACAGTTCCTTTAAGGAATCAGATCGGAACCGTTCGCTCCCTGAAATGAATCAGTTCTTTTTAACGATTCACCGCTCGGTAACAATGACCTTGATGAATGCGTTCAAAACAGGTGTGGATCAAGAGCGGTGTGCGAAAATGTGGGAAAACCAGAAAGATTTGACCAAGGAGTGGGATCGCTAGAATCAACTCAACCAAAGGGCTCATTCTCCTGGATTGATTTCTTTCATCTGCACTTTTGAGATTCCCTAAAAAAATCTTTCTACATAGAACAATAAAATTCTGGAACAAAAAAAAAAAAAAAAATGCTAAATGTTAAAAAAGAATGAAAACTCACTTTTGTTAAAGATTACATTATTTTATTATTATATTTCATATTTCATCTTTGTAACCATCTCTGTAACCTAATATTTTGTTGCTGCTACAAAGCACTCAGTGTAAAAATAAATTTTTAGACTGCAAGCAGATCCCAAAGAACAGGAAATTGTTTGCTAATAATGCCGGTATTTTCCTTTTTTTTTTTTTTTTTTTTTATTTAACTAGACAAAATGATATCAAATATCTCTCCAGATTCTTCTGTTTGGTAGGGTTCGCATTTTGTTCTGCAACCTTGAAAAATATATTAGATGAAAAAAAAAATGTGTTTATAAATATATACTTATTGTAAAGCAGATTAAAGAGAAATTCACAGCTCTTGATTACAAGACGTTAGTAAAATAACTAAATAAAAATATAATTTATTATTTTACATAAGTATTACAGTAATATTGTATAAAAAAGTAATACCTAATATACATAGCTGCATTATAACATAGTATTCAAAGAATCGAATTAAAACTCAAAAGAACAGCTCCGAGGAAGGGAAAAGCGCAAATAATTAAGACTCTCTGCAGTACGCCTATGTGGCATACTGCGCTACAGCAGGAGCCATGAAAAGAGCGAAAAATGAAGACTCGGTAAGAATCATCCGCGGCAGATGCGATAAAAAGAGCGAATAATCACGCCTCTGAAGGTTCCATATCTGCGACTAGCGTCGGAGCGCTGCCGAGAAACTAATACCTATAATCTTACGTACTTTAAAAAGATGCTCGCATTGCCAGATATCCCTCTATCTTTCCCTCAACCCGTATTTACCTATTTGCAAATACGGGTGATCAATTTCACTAAGATGTGTACGTTTATTTAATGTTTCAAATACTAGATGGAACACAAACACACCAAAAGCACACATATATATGTAATATATAAAAAAAATACGATGGCTTTGCTCTTTGCGAACCAGCAACCTTTAATTAATTTTCTGCAATTCAGCATATTCCCTTAGACCATTACCTTCTAGAACATTCGCACCTATTACATAACTTCCTCATATAAATGCTGCGTCATAAGTTTTTCTACATTTTTCTAGAAGCTATTCTGTTACATAACCTTTCATATAAATGCTGCGTCATAAGTTCTCTTACACAGATGCCTTCTCGCCTTCGTCCTGCTAACGCTTCCCCTATGCTCCTCTTTCTTTGTTAGAACGTTATGACGTATTAAAGTTTAAAGTCAGTCTTATCTAATAGTTCAATTACTGAATAAGTTATTTGAGTAAATTCATCTGGAACAAGTCATGTGCTATAAATTAAAATAAAGATATGCTGTTAAAGTGAAAAGTCCTGAGTCGTCATTTTTCTCCGTGCTTCAATCCACCCAGCTTCGTCAACCATCTGCCAGAACGTGTAATGGAATAGCCTCACCATTCGCCCACGATGTGTTGGAATAACTGAAAACATTACATATACATACATAACCACACATCAAAAATAGGTCAGGGATGTTTCCCGTAAGGAATAAAGCAAAGAGTGTTTACATTAAGAGGAAAGAAATTTTTGGCAGGCTTCCCAACAACAGCTCTTGGTGAACTGTTAAAAAACTACCGTTTCGTTTGCGCCGAAGCGCTGATCATTAATTCAATAAAGTGAATCGGTTCTGTAGCGGATCTCCATCTCTAACTTAGGGCTTCTCCTCTTCTTTTTTATCTTACCTCCATGCCAGCGAGGGGTTTATCCTTCCGGTAACACCGGCTTCTCCTTCGTTCGCCTAAAAGGCCTTTATTCTGCGTTCTTCTGCTTGTTAAGATTGCTTCCGGCTTAAATTTTTCCTACAATTTATTTTCATCCTCTATGGGGCATCTCAAACTTTCCGTTTAGTGCCTAATGGCGGAGCGCGTAATAATAATTCTTATTTGCATAAAATATTCTATACCAACAGTCTCAAACTGAAACTGCACGCGAACCGCATGCAAGATCTAAAAACAGCTGACGGCCAATACTTTAACACAATGAAAATTTTATGAATAAGAGTAATTGTATTGTTTTATGGTATCATTGTGTTAACTGGTTTGGTATGATTAATCATTGTACTTAGTAAATGCATAGAATAACTGTACTAAATTATTATATTTTAGTAATCATCAAGAATCATTCTATTGAATCACTGAATTGTAATGAACAAATAAAGTGCAAGTTATACTGTACTGTACATATTTAACAATTGATTTCTTTACAAGTAAATGTAACATCAGTACTATAATAGGTACTTAAATGACTATACCATATATTTAAATGTTATTAATAACATGTATAGTATTATTACAAATCTGAGTATATATATTAAACCACTGAATACTTGTATCGTAATCTTTATACTTCAATAACTGCATATAATTATTGCTTTGGTACATGGTCTAAAGAAGCAGTATAATATCACTGTATAGCATCATTACATTATTTATAATATTCAGTGTGCAAGGTAAAACTGTACAGTAAATAATTTATAATTAACTGCTTTCAAGTAACATGTAGTATCATTGCTGTAATGATTAATTAATGGTGTAATTTAAATGCTTGTGTCACTTGGCTAGTGAGGTTTATAATATAAATGGTATTTTTATTAATTTGAGCAATAATATTGAAATTTTGAATAATTATATAGATTTTTGTTCTAATAAGCGCATAGAATTGTTGTATTGAATCATTGCATTTGAATAATGATATGGAATCATAGTATTGAATTATTCATGAGTAATCGTACGGTATTATTGTATTGAATTATTTATTTGTAAAGTATTTCCAATGTGCAAGTAAAATTGTGCTGTACATATATCATTATTGAATTGCTTGCTAGTAATATGTAACATCATTTCAGTAACAAGCACCTATATAAAAAAAATATTATTTGAAAAGGTTAGATTAATTTTTTATCTTTTTTAAATTTTTTTTTTGTAAAAAATTTTATTTAGTCTTGATGAATTGGCAACAATTAAAATTATTTTATTGGATCTTAAGTTTTACTAACGTTTATTTTATTTTAAATCTTTACTATCACTTCTTATTTTCTACTTCCGGCCAGAATTATAAGCGTGAAGGAGTTTTATGCAAAGTTGTCTGGCGAACGCCAAGTATTTAAGTGTGGCCTTTTTGCCAAGCGAGAGAGAGGAAGCCGTGAGTTCGAAGCAGGCCGCTTACCTTAGAAGTTACGCAGTTGCTACTTTGCCTTCCAGGCCAGAGGTTTTAATCCTCTTGATAAATTAAACGTATTGTAGTGTTCACAGTCTCTGTGCTACATACGCTTCCTGTTATTATAAGGCCAATCTTCCACGTTTATTATTCTAAAGTTAAATTAGAGTTTAGTTTTATTTTGATATCTTTTAAGTTAGACCCCGAGTGGAGGGTCATTGTATTCCGAAGTACGGAAGTCATTGTATATAAAGAAAAAATAAAGGGTTTTGTATACCCTTCGTCTGTATCCTGTCTACTTACTACAATTAGTGAACATAGCTTTAGTAAGCTCTCTGTTCTAGTCAGGTCATTGTATGTTTCCGAAGAAGGTTAGAAGAAACATTGAACCTGATAGTGGCGCCCGACGAAGAATAACCATGGCCGAGTTTCAAGAAGAACCTGTGCTGCCTGCAGAAACGGCTCAGAATCCAGAAATGCCAGCTGCCGCCCTGGAAGGATTTGGTTATACATCGTCCAGACCATGCGCGCTTCGATGAAACCAGAAGCAACGTTTAATGGAAACTCACCGGTAACCAGTTTTTTGGAAAAATTGGATGACCACTTCATGCTCTACCCCGTGCACGAGTTTCAAAAAGTTACCTTAGCTACCAGCGCTTTGAGGGGCCAAGCGCTTAACTGGTTCAAATGTATCGGCAGAAGTCTCTTGGGTCAAGCAGGAAGTCCCACCTATACTTACGAAAATTTCAAGACTGCCCTACTAAAAGCCTTCCCTGTTGTAAGGGATCGTGCGAAATTAGAAACAGAACTTTTCAGTATATATCAACAAAGAATCGGAAAACCTCTCTCAGAGCTTTATTTTAAGAAAAATTCACGTTTTCAAGCTCTTGTATGGAAACCGTCCGGATCCTGAAATAATTCAAGTGATTTTGCCGAGGTTACTACCCCAAGTGCAAGACTTTATTGAATTGAGAAATCCGACTACACTGGAAAAGTTATTTGAGCTAGCAATCCAGTTTGAAAGTAGAAGAACGGCGGACGTCGAAAGAAGACGCCAATATCAACAGCGAAACCAATTTGGTACGCCAAGACTACAGCAA